CATCCCACAATTCTGTGATGCTGGTGCCACACTGCATCTCTCCCTCAGCATCCACGGGGGCAGAGTGGGGGGGCTCACCCCGGCTCGGCCACAGCCCCCCTTGGCAGAGCCCAACACACTCTCACACACGTCCCCCTTCACCTGAAGCCCAGGTGGCCCAAGCCACAGGCCCAAGGCCACTGAGCTGCCCTCACCCCGGGCGTGGGCAGGTCCCCGTCCCCGAGGGGACACGCGGAGGGGCCCCTGTGCAGGTGGGGGTGGCTCTGCCCGCGGGCATTTCCCGGCAGCTGCCTCGTGCAGAGGCGCCGAGCGCTCTGCGGTTTGGAAAGTCACTTTTCTCGCCCGGAGGGGGAGCCGGGTATCGCTTCTCAAAACCCGCTCCGAGAAAATCCACCGGCTCGTGCTTCCTGCCCCGGCCCCGCCGCCCCGGAGCTGCCAGGCTCCTCGGGATGCCAAACCTGCAGGATTTTCAGGCCTGGCTGAAATATTTGAGCGTCATTTGGTGCAGGGGGAGGAGCCGCCTTAAATTGCCTCAGATCTCCAGCTCCTGCCCGTTGACGCTTCCTCTCCCCATTCCCACCCAGGCACCGCCGCACATTTTTCCTCCAGTTTCTTCAACGTGAGACCTCCCTGCCCTACTTTTCCCGGCGAATAAAGCTCCACGTCCATTTGCTTTTTTTGCGGCTGCAAAGCAGCTCCGGGGCTGGAGTCTGGCTGAAACACTCATTTTGAGAGCTTTGCAGAGGTCCAACGCTCAGCCCCGGGAGCGATGAATCACTGGGGCAGCGTGGGCTGAGATGTGCTGCTGTGTGGGTGCGCCCGGGAGCGCGCAGGGAAGAGGCTCACGGAGCCTGAGGGGAGGCACCGCGTTCTTGGAAGGGCTGTGAGCTGCTGCAGGCAGGGGGGCTGCGGCTCCCTCAAAGACCACCACGTTCAGCCCGTTTCCCTCGCTGCTCTGGCTCTGTTGCACCTGCACGGTGGCTCCTGCCGGTCTTAACTCTCCATATCCTGCAGCAGTTGGGGCTTCCTAGAAGGAGTGAGCTCCCTGTGGGGTTAGAACCCCCCTCAGCTTCCCCGAGAGGCACAGTGACAGTGCACACTGCTCCCTGGGGCCGATTCCCTAAGCAAAGTTCCCAGCCCTGGCAGTGACTGCAGCTTCCCAGGAAGGGAGGTGAGAGCCACGGTGCCTGCAGCCCCACACCCAACCCCAGCCAAACAAGCCCACCCTGCCCAGGGTGCTGTGCAGAGCCCTCTTGTCACCTCCTCTGCACCACAGGGACAAGGGACAAGGGGACGAGGGTCCTCCAGCCTTGGAGCAGCTGCAGCATGACCATTCCCTGAAGCCAGGGAAGTGGGACACATCCTGGAAAGGCAGTAGGGAAAGGCACTGTGAAACACGGCAGAAAATGGAGATTGTGCCTCGGTGCATCTCCAGCAGCTCCCGGAGCCCACGCCGGGCTCCAGCCCCGCTGCACAAGGCCGTGCTGCCACCCCGTGGCACTGCCAGCGTGAGGCTTCCCGGGCCGGGCACGGCAGGGCGGGTGAGCTCCGCCATCCCCAGCATCCTCCCACCCTGGCTGGAGCCAAAACTCCCCAGACCCATCGCCATCCAGCTGGAGGAAGAGCCGCCCACCTCATCCTCCCTGACCATCCCACCCTGAACCTGTCAGCTCTCGGCACGGCTGTCCAGACAGCACCGGCTGCAGCTTTCCCAAACCATTCCACAGGGATGAACACACCCGGGGGATCCCAGCTCACCCCGTGCTCCTCATGGCACAGCTGGTCAGAAAGTGCCCTCCAGAGCCCAGAGGGCCATGCCCAGAATGCCTGAACCTGAGCATCCCGTGCAGTCATGCCCTGGGCTCCCAGGGCAGTCACTCCTCTCTCCCACAGACCTGACCTACTGGGAATTCCCAAGGTACATCTCCTGCCCAGACTCTGCAACCCAGCAAGCCTGGAGGCTATCAGGCAAGTCAAGGGCTTTGAGTTCACCAGGGATGTGTGAAAGTCACGGTCAACTCCCTCCTCTCCCAAGGAACTGACCCTGCTGCTCTGTCTTGCCAAGAGGAGAGTCTGACCCCCAGCCCAGGGCATCCCACAAAAGGTGATCTGCACCTGGAGGCATTTTCTGGAGCCCAGAGACAATGTGACTTGGCCCTGCTCTGCACTGAGCCAATACTCCTGACAGCAGATCACATCTGCAAGGGCCCAAGAGGACCGTGGTTTGAGGGGCTTTTCTCTGCAGTCCCCTCCAGCCCCCGTTGCTCCAGGCTTCTCCCACCACATCTGCTCCAAAACCCTGCTGGAGGCCATGCTCTGGCTGACCTGGAGCACTTGGGACTTGTTTTTTGGGCCCAGCTCTACAAACCAGAGCAGGACAGAGCTGTCACCTCCCTACCTCTGGCAGTGTCATTCCCCAGCCAGCCCTGCACTCCCTGTGCTGCAGGCAGCCTGTAGTTTTCAGGCTGTATTGGTTTTCCACTGCTTGTCTACAGGAAACAATAACTGAGCTTTTCAGCTCCAGGATTATGTCAGAAAAAAAAAAATGATTATTTCACAGAGCTACTGATGAAGGACTCAGCCCTTCATGATCAGTGGCTGCTGCTGAACTGGAACAAAACAAATCAAACAAGAGCCGTCAGCTAAGGAGGGTGAATCCCTCAGGAGCCCATGTGGAGTAGACATTAAGCTGACACTTGAAACAGTCAGATCTCTAGAAATACGAGGCTGGATGGTGTTCCCATCCCTGCTTGCCCATCTCTCCCCTCTGCAAGACCTGCTGCCTCCCAACCACACCAGCAAAAGGCTCATCCCACTCTGCCTGCCCTGGAGATCAGCAACAGCCAGTGGAAGGTCCTGGAAGGTCCATCCTGCTACCATGTCCCTTGTATAACAACCTGCAGGCCCAGGGCATTGTGACCTCCAGGAAAACACCTCCACATGAAACACTGAACACCACCATACCTGCTCCATCCAGCCTGGAGCTGCACGGGGGGATGGCCTGTTCCCACAGGGAACACTCCAGCAAGCCCAGGGCAGGATCTCCCTCTCGAGGCAGGAATGTGGCCTGTGGCACAAGCAGTGACACAACCACTGGCTCCAAACAGTCTGGCACAGGCAGGGGGGCGAGTGACAGACCCCCCCACACACCACCACCCGCTTCCTGCAGCGGTGAAACCAGTGACTGAGCAACAGCTGGACCCAGCCCTGGCCAGGCAGTGGGATTTATTGAACTATTTACACAGCTAGATCCCAAATTCCCTCTTTCCCACACCAACTTTAAAAAACTTGTGCAACACGATTAAACACCCTCCCCCAGCCCTACTCACACCCTCCCCCCTGTCAAGGCTCAAATAAAGGTCTCTGGTCTGTGTGGGCAGAGCGTGGGGCGGCGGAGTCCGGAGGTACCGAGGGAGGGGAGCTGAGCCAGCACACCCCGAGTCCAGCCTCGCTTCCCTGCAGGGTAAAGCTAAGAGGATTTGGAGCACCAGGATCCTCCAGGCAGCACAAGAGCCCTTTAGGTTTTTATGGCTGTGTCCCGGGATTTGTAGGCCACACCACGGCTCTTCAGCTCTCGGACGATCCCTGCAGCAAGGAGACAAACACAGGTCAGTGTTCTCGTGGGATGGGGAGCCCTGGAAAAATCTGGTGGCTCTGTCACGTAGAGATCAAGATCTGGACAATCTTCTTTATTTCACAGAATCATGGAATATCCCGAGCTGGAAGGGACCCACAAGGATCACTGAGTCCAACTCCTGGCCCTGCACAGACACCCCAAGAATCACACCCTGTCCCTGAGAGTGTTGTCCAAACCCTCCCTGAGCTCTGGCAGCCTTGGGGCTGTGCCCACTGCCCTGGGGAGCCTGGTCAGTGCCCAACCACCCTCTGGGGAGAGAACCTTTTCTTAAGATCCAACCTAAACCCTATCCCTGGGTATTTCAGATGTGCCTGGGTTGTGCCAGCAGGCCTCGGCTTCCAGCCCTGTGATGTTCCAGCTCCTTCCCAATGCAGAGCTCAGGTGAGAAATAAGGAGCCTGGGATCCCAGATACTGGCACAGCTTTCCCCCTGGGGATTCAGGATTCACTCCTGGTCAGGAGTCTGCTCTGGGGACTGGGCAGGGGCTCAGCTAGAGGGATGATGCCATTTCTGCATTCCAGAGATAGGGCAAATCCTCTGTGCCCTCCACTCCATTTACAAACACACAAAGCCCCCCATGGCACGAGCCCTTGGTGCAGGAGGACAGGAAGGGGCACCTGCTCACCAGGATTGCCTTAACAGCACCCCATCCTGCAAAACTCTTTTCTATGGACAAACTTCTGTGTTTCCCTAGAGCTGAACCACTGGAGACGAGATCACTTTCCAGAGTCACCCTTTAATCCCGGTTTATCCCTCTGATAGCTGGTTTTAGCCAGCAGCATCTTCATATCAGCTTCTGGCAGCCACAGTGCAGAACCCTGAAGCCCCTTCCCCAGTCCAGCACATTCTTGCAGTCACCCTGCTGATCTCTTCCCACTTTGCTGATCCCTTCCCACCCTGCTGATCCCATCACCCACATGGCATGATCCCTGTCCACAGTGTTCACCAAACCCCCAAACCCTGAGTCCATCTCACAGGTACCTTGGGGCAGGCGGCCGGTCACGGACACTGCATAGACACCTGGCTTGAAGGTACCTGGGGGGAAGAAAACACCGACTTACCCCACGTAGCAGCAGCCAGGTGGGAAGGGACACCTGTGCAGATGTCCCTTCACTGGAGGGGACATCGTGGGGCAGAACCCTCTCCACAGCCCAACCAACCCACTGTCCCTGAGAAGGGTCTGCTGGGGATCAGGGACCTGTGGCTCCCAAAATACTCACTGATCCTCTGCCACTTGGAGACCCAGCTGTCCTC